TTTTTTACTGACTCTCCTGCCCCCATTCTGACTCCCCCGCCCCATTCAGACTCGCCCCATTCAGACTCCCTTCGCCCCATTCTGACTCCCTTCGCCCCCATTCTGACTCCCTTCACCCCAATTCTGACGCGCCGGATGCTCCCGCCCACATTCTGACTAACCTTTGCCTCCCATTCTGACTCCCCTTCGCCCCATTCTGACTCAGTTCCCGCCCCATTCTGACTCCCTTCACCTCACGCCCCATGTCTGACTCCCCGCCCCCATTCAGACTCCCTTCGCCCCATTCTGACTCCCTTCACCCCCATTCTTGAACTCCCCTGCCCCCATTCAGACTCCCCCTTTCCAGTTCAGATCCTTCACCCCCATTTGCCAGACTCCCCTTCCACCCCATTCTGAAACTCCCCTGCCATTCAGACTCCCCGCCCCCCATTCTGACTGGCCTTCGCCCCACCCATTCTGACTCCTCCTGCCCCCCATTCGCCCCCATTCTGACCTGCACCTTTTTTGCATAACACACTTTGTGATGCCTCGTTTATCTTGAAGTAAAATTCATATATCACATACCTGCACATGCAATTTTTTTGAAAGTGCAGTGTGACAACTTAACTTTGCATTAATGTAAAATGGCATTCAGATGGAGTCTCAGATAATTACAAACTCATTTTTTACCTTCTTAGGTGTCCAGTGGAAAATTCTAAAGTTACTCAAGACAGTCTTCAAGACAGGGTGTCTTTTGTCTCTGGTTTTTGACTGTGAAATGCCAATATTGTTGTGATAGTCAGAACCCTCCACATCTCCCAGAAGCTCTTAGCTGAGTGGCGGATTTCTCCACCAAGAGCCCCTGGTGTACAGTGTCAAAGTGTGAGTGTCGCCAGGCTGTAGTTCAGTGGTGTGATCTTGGCTCACTGCAATCTCCGCCTCGCGGTTTCAGTTCTCCTGCCTCCACCTCCCGGGTAGCTGGGATTACAGGCACGCGCCACCACACCCAGCTAATTTTTGTATTTTTAGTAGAGATAGGGTTTCCCCATATTGGCCAGGATGGTCTTGAACTTCTGACCTCGTGATCTGCCCCCCCTTGGCCTCCCAAAGTGCTGGGATTACGAGTGTGAGCCACCGTGCCCGGCTGAGTATCCTTTTTATAGGAAGTACCTGAGTCCCTCTGGTGCACAGGCTACTGCAGGGCAGGACCCATGGAACCCAGAGCAGCTCTGAGCTCTGGAGGTCAGGCCACTGGGGCGTTGCTGGGGAGCCTGCTGCCCTGTTGGATGGGTAAGCATGCGATGAACTGCGCGGCTGCTTGTGCCTGTTGTGGGACTTTAATCATGAGATCATAGGCGCTCTTTCCTTATGCCTTTGCCCAGGATCAAAGAGCAATTACTGGGGCCAGGTGTGGTGCCTCACGCCTGGAATCCCAACACTTTGGGAGGCTGAGGTGGACGGATCACCTGAGGTCAGGAGTTCAAGACCAACCTGGCCAACGTGGCGAAACCCCGTCTCCACTAAAAATACAAAAATTAACCGGGCATGGTGGCGGCCACAGCTACTTGGGAGGCTGAGGCGGGAGAATCGCTTGAGGTGGAGGTTGCAATGAGCCTGCACCATTGCACTCCATCCTGGGCAACAGAGTGAGAGTGTCTCAAAAAAAGCAAAAACAGAGACAGTCTCTTGCTGTGTTGCCCAGGCTAGTTTTAAATTCCTGGGCTCAAGCAGTCCTTCTGCCTCAACCTTCCAAAGTGTTGGGATTACGTGAGGCACCACACCCAGCCAAAAAGCAGTTATTTTTAAAAAGTCTCTTCTGTAGACTTTTAGTGATTAATAATGATTTAACGATTAAACTAATAATGTGCCCCAGGAGCCTCGCTCTGTCGCCCAGGCTGGAGTGGCATGATCTCGGCTCACTGCAAGCTCCGCCTCCTGGGTTCACGCCATTCTCCCGCCTCAGCCTCCCGAGGAGCTGGGACCACAGGTGCCGCCACCGCGCCCGGCTAATTTTTTGTATTTTTAGTAGAGACGGGGTTTCACTGTGTTCGCCAGGATGGTCTCCATCTCCTGACCTTGTGGTCCCCCCGCCTCAGCCTCCCGAGGAGCTGGGACCACAGGTGCCGCCACCGCGCCCGGCTAATTTTGTGTATTTTTAGTAGAGACGGGGTTTCACCATGTTCGCCAGGATGGTCTCCCATCTCCTGACCTTGTGGTCCCCCCGCCTCGGCCTCCCAAAGTGCTGGGATTACAGGTGTGAGCCACCGCGCCCAGCCTGCATTATCTTATTTCTTAAACCATGTATTTATTTTTTATGTCTTTTGTGGCAAAATTTTTCTGAGATTTTTTTCATTCAAATAGCATTTGTGAAAAAATATCTTAGTAGGGTGTCTTGGTGAAATTATGACAATGTTTTAAGTGCAGTTATCTTTAGGCTGGACTCTGGGATGTACTCAGGAAGTGGCTGTTAGCCCTCACTCTGGTCACTCACTGAGCCGTGTGCCGCCTGCCCCAGCCCCCCGGGAGTGCATGGCTGCCAAGCGGGCGCCGTGGGGGAGGATATGCAGGTGTGAGCTGCCCGGGCCGGCCAGACCAGGGAGGCTCTCTGCTGATGCTCTCCTTCCTTCTCTTCCAGTCTACGCCTTCTCCGTCGGCAGACCTGCTGGGTCTGGGGGCCGCCCCCCCCGCCCCTGCGGGCCCCCCACCCTCCTCCGGCGGCGGCGGGCTGCTCGTGGACGTGTTCTCAGACTCGGCCTCTGTGGTCGCGCCTCTCGCTCCTGGCTCCGAAGACAACTTTGCCAGGTAGTCAGGTTTCCTGAGTCCTGCAGACGGGCACGGGACTGCCGTGCCCCCTGACTTCCGGTGTGGCCGCGGCCAGCTGGACAGAGGTGGGCAGCGGAGTTTACCTCCCAAATTACTGCTTGTGGGAGAGAGTGGGAGCTGCTGTGTCGTGGGTGGGTTTGCTGTGTAACTCCCCTCAGAACCTTGACTTGTGGACTGCAGTGTGCATTAGATAAAGGGCTGACATTCCTCTCAGGAGGAAAAGAGGACATGAAAGAAGCCACAGGGTCTGGCCGGCGGCTGTGTCCGATCATGCTTCAGCTGCTCTTTCTTTGAGTGTTGGTAAACACTCTTTGTAGCTACTCGTTTCCTCTCTTCGCCTCTTTCCTGTCTAGTTGGGCTGCTTTTCACTCTGACTTAAGCCGTCTTGTCTGTGTCTGGCGTGGAGGCCCAGTCTCTTGTCCTTGAGTTGCTCACTTGCCAAGTCCTCCTGTGAGGCCTGCCCTGCTCACACCTTCGGCCTCCACCCTGTGGTTGCCCCCGAGGGCAGCCTGTCTTTGCTGCTTGTCCTGCTCTAATTTCCATCCAATGCATGGGCACCTCCCAGCTCCCCACATGCAGTGGTCTCTGCCAGTGTCTCCATGGTCTTCAGATCGTCCGTGCCAACTGCTTCCCCGGTGCGTGCATTCCCCTTGCTGGCTGCTCTCAGCCGTCTGCTTGTTTTCATGTCTGGCGGAGTGGACGCCCGTTCCCAGTCGCTCCCCACTTCCCTCTCGCCTCCCCTCCCAACCTCCCTCTCCCTCCCGCCTAACCTCCTTCCCCTTCCCCCTCCCCCTCCCCCACTGCCCTGTGGGTGGGAGCGCAGGTGCCGGTTTCTGTCTCAGATAGAGGTTAGAGAGCCTTTGAGGAATGGCCTTTTGGTCCCGCGTTTTGAAGACTGTAATAGAATTCTGGTGTTTTAAAATGTTTTTCAGTTCTTTGTATTCATGTTGCATGTGAGTTCTGTTTCCTGTTACGTGTTGGAAAAGGACTTAGGAGAGGCAGACCAGCGTGGTGTTTGGTGCAGATCGCCACTTGGGCTGAAAACAGTCTTCTTACTGCTCTTAGAGTCGTTGTGTTTGCGATTGAGAATCTAGGTTCCAGGGCTCTGGTGGTGGCCACTCCTTAGTGTCTCGGTGGCAGGAAGGGACCAGGGGCTGGGCAGTCCGTGGCAGCCGTGGCCTTTCCCTACTGGGCACATGCCTGCCCCGTCTCCATACAGCTGTGCTGGGAGCTGCACGTGGCCTTGTGCACGCCTCACATTGGGTGGCGCCGTCTCCAGCTGGCCGAGCGTTGGGGCTCTTGTGCATGTGGCCGTCTTGGCTTTGATCTGGCTACAGAGGGTCATCAGGTGTCTGCGTGTGTTTGGTGTAGATGGAGGCACAGAGTGCCTGGGCGAGCCGGCTGCGGTGGCTGCTGGAACACGGCTCACAGGACAGGGCGGCTGCATTCTTGTGGCCTTGCACAGTGGTTTGCATTTTCCCCCCAAATTCCTCCAGGCCAGGTTGTAGTTGGGATGACCTTTTAAAAAGCAAGCAACCAAGCAGAGACGCCGACCACGAGGGCCCCTCTGTCACTCCACGTCATGGGTGATCAGTCAGAGCCCCTCCCATGTCCTTGACAGATTTCGCTTTAAAGTGGCTTAGGCGAAACCACGAGTGTGAACTCCGTGGCCTCTTGTGTGGAGAGACCGTTGGCTGTGGGCAGAGCAGCGATCCCAGGGCACAGTGGACACCTCTCCCTCGGCCGGCTCCTCCTGTGAAGTGGCCTCGGCTTTGTTGGTGGCCGGCTGTGGCCATCCTGGGTGAAGCGCAGTAGACGTGTTCCAGGCCGTGTTGTGGATGACCATCCTGTGTTGTGTGTTGGTTGGACCACACTTGACTTTTGAAGCTTTGCATGTGGCTGGAGCTGGACTGGCAGCCTGCCGGGCTGTGCAGGGGGTGGCTGTGGCCTCCAGAGGTGTGCGCGGGGACTGCTGCCTCAGTGGCTCTTGTGGCTGTGTCAGGCTGGAGTGGGGCAGTGTGAGGCGAGCAGCGCCCTCCTGGCCCTGAGAGCAAGCCAAGGGCCACCCGTCACTGTCCCTTGCTGTCTGTCTCTGCTTCCTCCGTCTTCTTCCTGGCCTGCTCTCCATATGGCAGGATGCCGATGAGCTGATCTTCAGGTCGGCAGCACTCAGACCTTCCAGGGTGGCAGCTGTGGTGCAGTTAGTGGAGACTGGGTGAGCGTAGGAGTGGCTGACCTTGATCTCCTCGGCGTCAGCGCAGGTGGGTGTGGAGATTTCAGAATTAGGCTGCTGCCAGGCAGCATTTGCTTCTTAGGCACTGGGGTGGGTTGGGCGAGGGGGCGGCACTGTGAGCTCCTGCCTTCCCCCCTGTGGTCTGAATCAGTGCCACGTCCATCTCTGTGCTGGGTTCACCCAGGAGCCCTGTGCTGCTGCCCTGCCTCCCTCTCCTCTCTTTTGGATCCAGGTCACTGTGGAGTTATAGTTTCCTAGAGGAGGTCAGAAAACTTGAAGCTCTTCTGAGAGAAACACAAATGAAAACTAATCAATGCTATTTTATTTTCCCCTAACTCTGTGTAGTGTAGATAGGTGCCCTGTGGTGAGCAAAACCCTGGGCTCCCTGTGCAGTGTAGATACGAACCACGCATGGGGCGAGAGGAGAGGCCAGAGGGGAGATGGGGGCGCCCAGGGCCCTGCAGGGCTGTGCTGCTGGTGGGTGGATGGCTGGGTGCCCTTGTGTGCGTGTGCATCAGCGTGGAGCAGCCAGGCTCTGATGGCGAGGCCCTCACTGGGTGGAAGTCCGGCACCCGTGTTGGATGGAGTCTGTGGCGTGGCCAGAGCTGTGTGCATGCCTTCGCGCTCGTGTCCTGTCTGGGGCCGTGAGAGGCCGTTACACGTGGACCAGCGTGTTCCTAGAAAGCAGCTGCACCAACTGTCTTCACAGGCCTCGCTGGAGCTGTGCCCGCGTCCCTGTGCCCTGCTCACTGTCCACCTGTGGCTATTTGTCAGGATGGTCCTTGGAATCTTTTTCCACTTTTTTCTTCCCTTGTGTCCCATAGAGGTTTTTCTGGCCTCCTCGTGCTATGAATTTTTTTCCAAAACAAACCCTTGTGTTTTCTGCAGGTGGCTTTGAGTGACACATATACTGTCCCTTTCCCCCTAGGTTTGTTTGTAAAAACAATGGTGTGTTGTTTGAAAATCAGCTGCTTCAAATTGGACTTAAGTCTGAATTTCGGCAGAATTTAGGTATGTGTTTTAATTACTTAATGAAACCCTCTCTTAGAACTCCCATAAGTCAGTAAGAAAGCAGCCCAATTAAAAAATGGGCAAAAGAACAGCCTGGGCAACAAATCAAGACCCCACCCCATCTCTACAACCACAGGGGGCCGCGGGGGAGGGGTGGGTGCAAAGTTGTTGAAAAGACGTTCTCCAGGGAGAATACAGGAATGCTCAGTAAGCACCTGAAAAGATGGACAAAGTCATGAAGGAAATGCCAGTCAAAACCACAGTGAGACACCACCTCAGCCCGCCAGGATGGCTTACGCCTGTAATCCCACAGCGAGACACCACCTCAGCCCACCAGGATGGCTGTTATAAAACAAACAGGTAGCCTGGGCGGTGGCTCATGCCTGTAACCCCAGCATGTCGGGAGGCTGAGGCAGGCGGATCACTTGAGGCCAGAAGTTCGAGACCGGCCTGGCTAACATGGCGAAACCCTGTCTCTACTAAAAATACAAAAATTAGCTCTGCGTGATGGTGCATGCCTGTAGTCCCAGCCACTCAGGAGGCTGAGACAGGAGAATCACTTGAACCTGGGAGGTGGAGGTTGCAGTGACCGAGATCATGCCACTGCACTCCAGCCTGGGCAACAGAGTGAGACTCTGTAAATAAATAAACAGTCTGGCCTGGTGGTCTGGTGACTTAGGCCTGTAATTCCAGCACTTTGGGAGGCCGAGGTGGGAGGATCACTTGAGCCCAGGTGTTTGAGACCAGCCTGCGCTGAACATGGTGAGACCCCATCTCTACAAAAAATACAAAAATTAGCTAGATGTGGTGGTCCACACCTGTGGTCCCAGCTACTCGGGAGGCAGAGGGGGGAGGATCGCTTGAGCCCAGGCGTTTGAGGCTGCAGTGAGCTGAGATCATGCCACTGCACTGCAGCCTGGGCAGCAGAGCGAGACCCTGTTGTTTGTTCATTCATTCATTCATAAATAACACATACATCAAAACAAACCTTGAAGGAAAAGGAGTGTCTGCAGGGCATGGTGACGTTGGAGCCTTGTGTGCCACTGGTGGGAGTGTACAGTCGTGCAGTTACTGTGGGAAGTTCCTCAAAACACAAAAGAAAGTGGAATTACTCTGACCCAAGCAGGTTCACGTCTGGGGACAAACCCCAGAGAATCGAAAGCTGGGTCTTAAAGAGGTACCTGTCCACCCATATCCATAGCAGCATTCACAATCCCCAGAAGTTAGAAACAGCCCAGATGTTCGTGGGTGGATGACTAGATAAGCAAAATGTGGTCCATCGACGCAGTGAAATATTATTCAGCCATGAAACGGCAGAAAGGAATGAAATTCTGATGCATAAAATAGCACGGATGCACCTTGAGGACATGGTGCTCAGTGACACGGGCCAGACACAGGGACAAATCCTGTGTGGCTCCACTCATGCGGGCCCTAGAGCAGTGACTTCATAGAGACAGAAGGTAGTTCGTGGGTGCCAGGGCCTAGGCCAGGGGGATGGGGAGTTGGTGTTTAATGGGGACGGAGTTCAGTTTGGGAAGATGAGAACGTTCTGGAGATGGTGGTGGCAGTGGCTGCGCAGTGTGGCTGCACTTCCTGCGTCCTTGTGTCCACCTAAATACGGCTAGGAAGGTGAATGTTAGGTTCTGTGTGTTTTACCACAATTTAGAAGAAGGACATAAAAAAGCCTTTGAGTGTTAAAAAACGCTGTGCATGGAACCCTGTGGCTACAGGGCCCCTGGCTGCGGACCTGCCTCCTCTCAGTGCCTGCCTTGAGCCTCCTGAGGACTGCTCTGTCTCTCGCTTGTGAAAAACACGGAAAGAGTGTGAAAAAAGAGAATTAGTTGCTTGCCCACCGGGGATCTGTTAGAAAAGTGAGGGTTGTCAGAGTAATTCTTGTGGGAAATGCTGCATTGAAAACAGATGGTACTTTCAGTCCTGGTTTAAGTTTTTAAACTCTGGGCCTTGAAAGCTTCAACTAGGTGTTGGTTTTGGTTTTTTAAATTGTGGGAGGAGTGATGCCAAACTGTTCACCCTTTTCAGAATATTCGAGGTTTCCTTTCTGAATTCAAGGGGCATACAGATGTTCACAAAGATTTGTTACTGTGATGTAAATAAAAACAGCGACACATCCAAAACGTGCACCTGTGCTGTGCATGAGCCGCTGCCGTGAGGGCCCGTGTGCAGCACCAGTGCTGTGCATGAGCCGCTGCCGTGAGGGCCCGTGTGCAGCACCAGTGCTGTGCTGGACGCAGGCCAGCCGGGTCCCCTGACGGGAGGCAGCCGGGTCCCCTGACGGGAGGCAGCCGGGGCCGGCCTGTGTTTACGTGTCACAGACGTGGGGCAGGGCCGGCAGCGGCCTGTGTGATTGCGGCATCCCTCGAGGCCCCTCCAGCTGTAGCCCAGCCTGCGGACAGGGCTTTCTGTAGGTCCTTCCCCGTGCATACGCGTGTGACCTCATCCATCCCATGTGAGTGTGCAGGAGGGGCCGAGAGAGGAGGGTGCTGGAGGGCAGAAGTTACCTCTGAGTGGAGGAGATACCCCGCCCGTTTCCAACACTGGTGTGCTTGTTCTAAAACTGGAAAAAATTTGTTCTTAATTTTAACAAGAGTCGTGCATCACAACAGTGAATTTTGATTCAGCTGAAGATTGTGGGGGTGGGGGGGGCTCTTGTTTTTCAGTGTAAATATTCAGGGTAAGTGTAAAATGATGTGTGTGAAAAAAAAAATGGTTTGTGTTTCTTTCTAGGTCGGATGTTTATCTTTTATGGTAATAAGACCTCCACGCAGTTCCTAAATTTTACTCCAACACTAATCTGTTCAGATGACCTTCAGCCTAATATCCTTGGTTTCATTGCCCCCATGCCCACAGACACGGCTTCTGAGGAAGTTTTTCGGTTTTCTTATTTCGTTAAAATAGCAAGATAATTCCAGATGCTATATGAAAATCAGGCAATCGTCGTCTGCCTGTGGTGTTGGGCAGCAAAAAGAAAACAGGCAATCTTCCATATTGAAGTGTCAATTTTTGATAATGCATCTAAAAATACTGTGCACAAGTCTCTTCCCCTTCCATTTGGCTAGTTTGAGTCCCTTTCTTTTTCAGCTGGTCTCACCCTCCTGTGACATTGTCTTTAAATCCCTCCTCTCTGAAGCCTCACAGAGCTGCTGCTTGCAGAGCACGGGAGGCGCCGGCGGGGACTGGAGCACGGTGCGCACACCCCGGCCGAGCTTGTGTGTGCTTCTGGCAGAGCTTTTAGACTGACGATTTTCCCTTCGTAATGCCAGAAGTGTTACTAGAACTTTCCCAGCCAAAAGAGGGAGATGCTAACGTCTCTTCCTGTAAGGATAGGCCCACCGAGTAGAGTTAGCGTGAAGACCCCAGTTTGACCAGAAACGGTGACACCTGGGGGTTTATGGCCCGAGACCTGAGTGAAGCAACATCGTCCTTGCCACTGGCTGGTCTGTGTTCATTTTAACATGAGCACGTTGTAATGCAGACTGTTCAAGCTAACCGTTTCAAAACAGTCATTAAAAATACACATGTAGGATCACGTGTATTAAAGACTTCGTTGAGAATCCGGAGTAGAAGCTGACTCCTACTGTGCCCCTCTTTAGGGGTCTCTCCCTCGGGGTCCGCTTGGCTCGAGGCAGCAGCGAGCCCAGCAGCTGAGTGACCGGCAGCACACGACCCAGAGGGTAGGCGAGGCCTGCACCCTGCTGCCTCCTGCACCCAGCTTTGCTCGTGTCGCTGTTTCTTCAGGAGAGGCTGTAGGCAAACCCTTGTTTTCCAGCATGAAAACAACGCTGGTCCCAGCAAGGCGGGCTCTTTTCTGAGTCTCGCTGTCTCAGGAGCCTGCTATTCCCAGGATTCTTGAAGTTTTCCTGCCCTACTAAGCACCAGTTTCTGCTAACAGCGACAAAAATTGTGTGTGTAAGAACCAGAGCCGAGGCTCACAGAGTGAAAATAGATAAGGAGAACAGCCAGTGTATAGTCTAAGCGACTTTTTAAAATGGAGGAGCCGTTTTGGAAGCGTGAGAAGCAAACTGTTTTGAGGATTGTCTGGGTGGAAGGGCAGGGCTGGGTGGTGTGGCCGCCCCTTGACCCCGTAGCTGGTGGTCCTGGAGCGTGGTGAGTGTGCTCGCCTCCACGGGTCCTGCCGGGGCTCTAGCCCGGCCCGTTTCCGCTTCTGCCGCTGGGGCTTGCTTGGCTGGATTCCTTAACGCACGCACACCTGAACCTGCAGACCAAGCCCGTGGACCCGACTGTGGAGGGGGGTGCGCAGGTGCAGCAGGTGGTCAACATAGAGTGCGTGTCTGACTTCACGGAGGCGCCAGTCCTCAACATTCAGTTCAGGTAAGAGCCATCTGTGCGCCCCGGGCCAAGGGTTGTGTGGGCGCCTGAGCTGTGTGCCTGGGCTCCATGACTGTGCCCCCATGTCCTTCCTGAGGGGACCCAGGGCATGTGGGTACTCATGGTGCATGGATGCGACCTGAGCTGTTGCTGCCCTCAGCTCTGCAGAGCGCAGGAAACAAGGGGAGGTGAAGCCCTGGGCTGTGGGACGGCAGGTGGCAGCTCCCACATGGGGCCTTGCTAGGATCTTTCTGGGCACAACGGAGCCTACCTCATGGGGTAACAGACAGCCAGGGCCACATGCCACCTGCCTGGCTTGGTACCAGACAACAGCTGCGAGGTGAAGGCGGCTGGCTTCCTTCGGACCCTGGCCTGAGGAGTGTGTTTTTTGCACAGTTGGACTCAGATCATACCACTTTGCTTATTTTTTAAAAGCATGAGATTTTCCTGTTGCAACTGTTGATTACTCTCACTTTTCAGTGGCTACAATAGCGTGTACACGGTCAGCGCGTACCCTGCTGGGTGTCTGCAAGGTTCTGAATGTTGAGAAAAGCACACTTTCTAACATTAAAAATACAGAGAACTTAAGGATTGTATACCGTAGAATTTGGGGACATAGACATGCAAATTTTTGTTTCATTCTTTGTGCAAATGCCTTTGCCTTTTTAAAGAAAAAAAAATCACACTATTTGCACAGACTTGGAGTTCTGAGAAACAGATAAATGGGGAGAAGTGAGGCACAGGGGCGTCCTGCCTGTGTACGTGGCCCTGGCCTATCCTGTCTGGGTGACACTGTACACTGAGCCACACATGGTCTGTGGAGACTCAAGGCTCGGCTCCCCACGCTCTGGTGGGTGGCGGTAGGTGGGGGCGCTTCTCACTCCAGGCTCTTTTCCGGCCCCTGGGGCTCTCAGAGGAGGAGCTGACTGTTTCTTTCTGCTGCTGCTGCTGGCAGGTATGGGGGCACCTTCCAGAACGTGTCTGTGCAGCTGCCCATCACTCTCAACAAATTCTTCCAGCCGACAGAAATGGCTTCTCAGGATTTCTTTCAACGTTGGAAGCAGTTGAGCAAGTGAGAAACCTGTTGTGCTGTAGGGGTCGGGGGTGGGGATGGGGGTCATTTGAACAGATGGGCTTTGGTCTCTGGCCTGGCTGAGAAACTTGCCTTTGCTGTTTCTCACAGTCCACAGCAGGAGGTGCAGAACATCTTCAAAGCAAAGCACCCAATGGACACAGAAGTCACCAAAGCCAAGGTAGGGCATCTGGAGGGACGGCCCCGGGGACACGCTGCCCGCAACCCAGCGCCAGGGTCTGGAGGGACAGCCCCGGGGGACGCGCTGTCCGTGACCCAGTGCCAGGGTCTGGAGGGACGGCCCCGGGGGACGTGCTGCCTGCGACCCAGCGCCAGGGTCTGGAGGGCCGTTGCCGCAACCCAGCGCCAGGGTCTGGAGGGACGGCCCCGGGGAATGCGCTGCCTGCGACCCAGCGCCAGGGTCTGGAGGGCCGTTGCCCGCGACCCAGTGCCAGGTTCTGGAGGGATGGCCCCGGGGGACGCTCTACCCGCGACCCAGCGCCAGGGTCTGGAGGGCCGTTGCCTGCCACCTAGCGCCAGGGTCTGGAGGGACGGCCCCGGGGGACGCGCTGTCCGTGACCCAGCGCCAGGGTCTGGAGGGATGGCCCCGGGGGACCTGCTGCTCACGACCCAGTGCCAGGGTCTGGAGGGACGGCCCTGGGGACACGCTCCCCGCCACCCAGCACCAGGATCTGGAGGGACGGCCCCGGGGGACGTGCTGCCCGCGACCCAGCGCCGGGGCCTGGAGGGATGGCCCTGGACGTGCTGCCTGTGACCCCGCTCCAGGATCATCATTCTCCTGTTTCTTTGGACAGATCATTGGATTTGGTTCTGCACTTCTTGAAGAAGTTGATCCTAATCCTGCGAATTTCGTGGGAGCTGGAATCATCCACACGAAAACCACCCAGATCGGATGCCTGCTACGCCTGGAGCCGAACCTGCAAGCCCAGGTCAGGCCCTCAGGAAATGGCTGAACACACTTGAGTTGCTTTTTATTCTGGCACAATGTACATGGTGAGATGTGTAGCTCTTTAGTGCAGTTCGGTCAGTTTTGATAGATGTTGTGTGCCCGTTTAACCACCACCCTGTCAATACATGGTTGCGTCCCAGTCTCCCCACAGCTGGCCACCTGGAGCATCGTCCCGCCACAGAGCAGCCTGGCCCTGGGCGGTGGCTCTCCCAGCTCTTCCTCTCTGTCACCGCGTTGTTCCTTCTCGCCACGTCCCATTCTGTCAACAGACACCTGTCTCCGTTTCACTCGGGCGGCACCCAGGAATGCCGCTGCTGCCCAGGGCCTGTGTGTGGTTAGCGCTACAAGAAGCTGTGCCACTTCACACTCCCGCCAGCTACGTACGAGGCGCCAGGCGCTCCCGTGCCAGCCCTCAGTTTTCATGCTGACAGTGTGTGTGGTGCTCAGGCCTCTGCCGAGCTGTGGGTGCCCCCAGAGAGTGGTCCCTGGGGGTGGCCCACAGGGTTCTGCATGGCGAGTCCTGGACCCGAGGGCTGTGTGAGCCTTGGCATGCCCGCTGACCCGCTGCGCTCTCCGTTTCAGATGTACCGGCTCACGCTGCGGACGAGTAAGGAAGCCGTTTCTCAGAGATTATGTGAATTGCTGTCCGCGCAGTTTTAGTCTTGAGGATGGAAGACCAGGCCCGTGTGTCTTGCGTTGTCTTCGTCTGTGCCGTTTGTCTTCGTGGCCGTCCTGCAGATGAGCACCCCCGCTGCCCCAGACCTCTCCCCTTTGGGCTGGACAGGAACACACATGTGTGGCTCAGGAAGAAAAGCTCAGCCTGGACTGCGGCAGCCACGGCAGAAGGTGGATCTTGGGATCAGTTTTTATAAAAATCAAGACAGTTCTGTGGTTAAATCTACAAATTAAAGGGAAATTAGAAGTTGGCGTGAACGTGGCGTTTGTGGGAGTGTCACTGAGATGGCCCGTGCTGCCGCCCACCCCGCCTCGGAGCCTCTGGGAGCAGCAGTGCCGCTACATGTGCGTGGGCTGAGCCTTGGCGTGTGGCTGTTCTGGTGGCTGCACACCTGGCATCGTCCTGGGCCCTTGGGAGGAGCACGGCCGCCCCTGGTTTTGCTGCAGTCCCAGCTGGACAGTTTTCCCAGGCAGGATTTTAATCTGGACTTCAGAAGCATTTGTATTTGTAATGACTTCTGGCCAAACCGCGTGTCCTGGCTGGATGTAATTGTTTTCCCAGCTCCTGTTCGTGGAGGGTGTCTGTTTTGCTCCTGCAGTCCCCGAGGCCTTAGATGTGCAGCCAGGGAAGGAGCGTCCTGCTGGCCCCGCGGGGCCCCCAGGACTCCGGGGTAAAGCGTGGGCTGGTGGCTCAGACTCAGGTGTGCTCGTCTCTCTCCTGTCAAGAGTGGGTGTCCCCAGGCCACGGTGCAGGCTTGAATGCTTCCACTGGCCCCGTCCGGTCATCCCTGGAGGGGCTGTGGAGGAGGGAAGCCTCTGTGTCATCAGGAAGTGAAGGGGCCATGGGCCACACACTGTGTGCCACCTGCGGCTTGTGTCTCGCCTGTCGTCTGGACTCAGCACCCAGGCTGCACGTCTGACACCTGAGAGGCGAGAGAGTGGGGCTGGCCTAGGAGCCAAGGCTGGGGCCCTGTGCTCTGTCCCCAGGACGGTGGCCTTGTTTGTCCTAAACACACCCAGCATGGGTTCCGGCTTCCTGACATGCTGTGGAGGCAGGGAGGGTGGGTGGCCACATGTGCTTGAGCCTGGCCCTCAGCCACCTGCTCCACGGGTCCCTGGGGCAGCTGCACGGGCTCATGGACCCATCAGGTCTCCACAGCTCCCCTGCAGTGTGTGCAGCCCACGATGTCTGTGGCTCTCCTTCCAGCGTGTCGGACTTTGATCACAGGATAGCCATGTCGGTGGCGTGCGCCTCTTGCACTGGCCATTCTGGGTCTGGCGGTGCCAGGTGTCATGACACGCCGCGCTGGGCTTGTGCTGCAGCTGGGTGGTGTGGCCCTCATTCTTGTGTTCCAGCTGCTGGGCAGTGCTCTGCCTGTGTGCTGCGCCTGCCGGCTGCGTGTGCTGCCGTGGATCTCCTGCATCCCTTGACCCCTCCTGCTATCAGAGGAAAGGCCGCTCCCCGAGGCACCACTTCCCTGTGTGGCTGCAGAGGGGCCCTCAGTGTGGCACTCCTCGTCAAAGAAAAATAAAGGCTAGAACAGCACCCCAGATCTGCGCTTTCTTTGGGGGGAAAGCATCCCACGTAACCCTCAGCTCCCCGGGGGCCGTGTGAGGCACAGACCCCAAAGTCCCTGGCCTGCCCTTCGGCACGTGGCCTCACAGGCAGTGGGCATCAGAAAGTGACCTGCCCTTTGCTCTGCCAGTTTGATTCTGGGCGTGTGGTGGAATTTTTTGGGACTCAGGTCATGCGGGAACCCCTCCAGCCTGGCCTCAGGGCTCCCCGCTGTACAGTGTGTTGGGGTGCAGCCCAGGGCTCCCTTCTGGGGAACAGGCCTGCCAAACCACGTGGGTATGAGGAGGCTCCGTGGGGGATCCTCCTGTTGATCTGACTACAGAAGGGGCTCTCGGGCAGATGGGGGTGGCCCCTGGAGGACGGTGGGCTTCGCCAGAGATGGGACAGTCCTGGTGGAGGGAGGGCAGGGGCCCAAGGCCAGAGGCAGCTTCTTTTCCCAGCCCAGACCCTCCTGAGGGCAGCCCCGCCCAACCTCAGATCCCAGGGGCCCACAGGGTGCAGGTGTGGGTCGGGTGCCTAATGTCTGAGGGACTGGGGAGAGGCAAAAGCAGGGCTCAAGTGCTCAGGGACCAGCCTCTGTGCCTTGACAAGAACCAGTTTATTTGGAGTCTCTGGTCGGGTGACGCCCTCTCCCGAGGACAAGCTGCTGGGGACAGGTGTGGTGCTGGCCGGGGCCTTCTGCCTGGCTGGGAGCGGGGGTGGCTGCCCTGCCCTCGCTGCCACCCTCTGCCCTCCCTGACTCTGGGGAGCTCCTCTTTTCTGTGTCGGTGGCTGCCTGGGCCTCTTGCCCCCATCTCAGCACAGGTCCTGACGGGTCTGGTCCAGCGCCTGTTCTGGCCTCATCTGCAGGGTTCTGGGCCCAGCAGGGCTGGGGCCAAGTTCAAGGGCTGGGAGGTGTTGGATGGTAGACGGGTGGTCGAGAGTGCCCTGTGTGCCTGGGAGGGTGCGTGGCCACTGCCCGCCTCAGTCCCTCTCTGCTGGCTCAGGGTCTGCAGGGGTGTGGTGGTCTGGGCCTCTGCTTGGCAGCCCCTCTCCCACCGGTGCCCCAGGTGAGCCACGGCTGGGGGCACTTGCGGGCCAGGCCTGGTGACCAGGAAAGCAGCTGCCGGCACAAGTGGGAGGGAGGCCGGCGGGTGTTTGTCCTGTCTGTCATCTGCAGTCCTTCAGCCCCAGGAGAGCGGGCAGCGACCCTGCTAGGCTCCACAGGCCACAGAGCTGCACTCGCAGCGGCTGAACACCTGCAGGGTGAGTACGAGCTGCCGGCCAGGCGCGCTGGGGTCTGGGCAGGGCAGCTCCACCTGCTGCTCATAGGAGTGGAGGGGGCGGCAGCAGCCGCAGTGGGCGTCCACCTGCTGGGTGATGGTGTTGTAACTGCCAAGAAGCCAAGACAGAGCAGGGTCATGGGTGCTGCAGGGGAATAAGGCCCCTCCCTCCCCAGGGCAGCTGCTCCACAGAGGCCTGGACCTCCCCGCTGAGCTCCTGGCTCACAGGGGCCAAGGCCGGTGTTGGGCAGATGGAGCGCAGAGTGGCTAACCTGACGGGGCAGCAAGCGCCTGGGTGGGGAGCCCGAACCTGCCCTGGCGCCTCTCTGGGGTGGGGTTGTGAGCACCTTGCTGGACGTGGGGCAGGCCTCCCGCCTGTGGACTCACCTGGCGGCAGAAATGCAGGTGCCCTCACAGCGGGTTACCGTCACGTTCGCCGTGCATCCCTTGAACGTGATCTCCTCCTGCTGCTCCTGCACGCTGCAGACCCCTGGGAGCCAAGTGGACGGTCAGCAGCGCTCAGGGTGGACATGGAGCGAGGAGGGAGGGAAGCCCTGGCTAGAGACCGGGGTCCCCACCTGTCTCTGGACTCTCCTGCCCAAGGTGTGGTCTTCCTTTGTGGAGCGCCACAGAGCTCAGACCTCAGCCATACCCAAAGGCAAAGGCCAGCAGCATCCTAGTTTGTTTTTTCCCCTCAAAGTCGCTCTGCTGGAGTCCATCAAGGTAGAGAATTTTCTCAGTGGACTCAGCAGATACTGAGCCCTGGGCCTGTGTGAGCCACCCCTGGGCCCCAGCTTCCCTGATGCCCCACCCCAGGCCTCGACACCGACCTGTGGGCATGGGTATCTCTGGCTGGCCGGACCCAGGACCTGCAGGGGGGCCGAGGACACCGTGTCAGTGACGCCAGAGAGGGGAACAAGTGGTGTCGTGGGAGCTCCATGTGCCCCAGCTGGGGAGGAGGGAAGTGGAGCAGGCCCCGTGGTCTGGGCTCCTGGAAGGGGCGGGGTGGGGAACTGTGTGGAAGGCCCAGACAGCCAGCCTCAGTGAGAGGCCTGGGCACGTGGCAGGCAGCACGGAGCAGGGTGGACTGTTGCAGGCAGTGGCAGCATCGGCATTAGAAACCGCCACTGCGGAGCGTGGGTTAAAGTGGAAAAGGAGTGCTGGGGTAAAGGCTGAACTCTGCTGCCTGTGTGCCCTTCCCTGGCTGTGCCCAGCTTCATTTCCTGGCCACAGAGAAGACAGGTCGCCTGGAACCTACCTGCCCGCTGCAGAGAGCTTTCTCCAGGAGGGGGCAGGACTATGTGTGCCTCCACAGGCCCTGCCGTCCCCAGCTGCCCTCCCCTCCCAGATGGTTCCTGCTCCCTCACCTCTGCTTCTTGGGGCCACCTCCCCGGTTACAGCTTGCACCCAAGTCCTGGTCTCAGGGAGGGACCCAAACCAAGATTCCCTCAGCCTGCAGCAACGAGCTGCTACCCACGTGAGAGACCACGAAGCCAACCGTGGCGTTGCCACCTGGTGGAGGTCGATGCATGCGAGGGACCCAGTCCCTGGGTGGTTGCTGTGAGAGGAACACCCAGGAGGGAAGTGAGGGACATCCCTGGAACGTGAGGTTAGGTGGACGTGGACGAGGCCTGAGGTGTGTTCTGTCTCCAGGCATCCCATGGCCTGGGGAGCAGTGGACTCGCTCATAGGCATGAGACCAGGTGGAGGCCGGGAAGAGCCGTGGCCCGGAGAATAGGCATGAGTACCAAGGAGCAGGCGCCCTGGTTGCCAGGTCCAGCTTCACCTTCAACAGGTCCTTCGGGGCGAGGCAGGGGCTGTGCCGGACCTTTATGTCTCTTTCTGCACTTGGAGGAAGGGCTGTGCTGCTTGAACCCTGGGGTCCGGCCAGCCCTGACATCCTCTGAGCACCCAAAGGGGCAGCCGGGGAAGGCTTTTGGCAGGTATCACTCTGAGGGGAGGCCAGGAGTGCAGCAGTGACCGGGGCATGAGTGAGCCAGTGCAGGGAAAGGTCAAGGTTAGCTGGGGAAAGGCCAACGGGGAGGCCGGACACTTGCTTGGCCAAGAAAGCGTTGGCATAGAGGGTGCCCAAGAGGGGAGAGGGGAAAAACCCATTAGGCGTGTAGGGAAGGTGGGGAACAGGCATGTGGTCCTGGGATCATAGGACCATGAGGGGTAAACTGAGGCAGTGGCTGCCTGGGAGTCACGAGCACAGAGGTGAGGCCAGCAGGAGGGCCACAGAGATGCCACTTACCAGGTGAGGTGGGCGTAGGTGTCCCGAGAGAAGATACCGGGGCAGAAGCAGGGGCGCTTCCATGCGCAGTGAGGGAGCTGGTCAGGAACTGCGTGGTAGGCAGTGAGGTGGGACCAGGGTGCCTGGTGGTAAGGTTGGTGAGTGGAGAGCTAGGGATACCCGTCACCCCCGAGGTGAGTGACACAAAGCCTGACGTGGGAACTCGGGTGGTGAGAGAAGTGGACCGCGAGGTGGTGGACTGAGAGGAGAAGGCAGGGGCGGTGTGGGTGCTGGCCGTGGTCCTGGGCGTGGACGGAAATGCAGCGGAGCTGGAGGCTTGGTGACTGGATGGGGTGGGAGACACAGTAAGAGTGGATATGGGGAGTAGAGCAGAGGGGGTGAAAGGAGAGGAGATAGTGTGGGGGAGAGAGGCCCTAATGGTGGTAGAGGCAGCTGGAGAAGAAGGAAAAAAGGGAGATGCAGACCCTGATGCAGTTGTGGGATGAGTGAAGAACGAGGAGTGTGAGCTCGAGCTCAGGGTTGTGGAGTGCACGGGGGTGGACACGACAGAGGAAGATGTACCAGCTGAAGATGAAGTCTGGTGAGAGGAGTGGGAGGAAGGTACATGAGAAGAAACAGAAGACTGGGCAGAAGGAGTGGGAGAAAATGAGGAGGACAGCTGATTAGTTGTAGAAACAGGAGTGGTTGCAGAACTCAAGTGGGGGAGTTGTGTGGTGGCGGAAGGTGGTGACGGTGGCCTTGAGCTAGAGTTCGGAGGCCGCCACGAGGAGGAGGATATGAAGGAAGAAGAGGCTGTGGTTGTGCTGAATGAGCTGTGGGCTTGGCTGGTCCCACTGGTAGTCACTGTCATTGATGGGGCTGTGTGGGTGGACCCTGTGGCCTTGACCGTTGTCGGTGGAGAAATGGTGCCTGTTGGCATTGTAGGGATGGAGGAGAAAGTGGACATCTCTGGGAGGATAGGGGTGATGACTATGGGAGTAGTTGGAGTCACCAAGGAGGTGGAGAAAGGTGGAACGTGAGTGGGAAGTGTGGTCTGAGGGTGTGATGGGGTTGGATAGGTAGTGGTG